ACACAGGTGGTTGGGTAATAAACTCAGGAATTTCAAGTGGTGAATTCCTAGTTTAAGCACAAATTTGAGAGAACAAAGGAGACGGCTCCAAAATGGAGTCATTTTGGTCCCACAGGCCCTTTGTTTTGTTTTGTTTTTAAATTTGGAGACAGGATTGCCTTAGGTCATTAAATTGCCTGGGCTGGGCTCTAACTAGCAAACTTCCTGCCTCAGCTTTGTGCTGGGATTACGGGTATGCAGTACCACACCCAGATAATTGTTTAAAATTTTGAGGGTAAACCCAAGCTATTGCCCACTTTTCACATCAGTCCAAATCAATAGTTATATTATTATAAACAGAAAGAAATCTCTTTTTTTTTTGTATTGGGGATTGAACTCAGGACCTTGAACGTGCCAGGCAGATGCAGTGCTGCTGAGCTACATCCACAGCCCCCAAATCTCTTCTTTTGATATAAACAGGCAGAAACAACTCACTGCATACATCTCAAGATAAATAACTTGTCCTCAAGTAGGAGGACTTGGCAGCATCGTATGTTAGAACTCACTTTAATTTCCGCAATGAGCCAGGTGTGGTTGCGCCTGTTTGTAGTCCCAGATACTTAGGGGCCAAGGCAAGAGAATCTCTTGAACCCTTAAGTTTGAGGCTAGCCTGGTCAATGCAGCAAGTCTCTATCAATCAATAAAGCCCCCTGGTACATGGAGTAGCTATCTTTGATAATAGTCTTTATCCCAAGGAGAGATAAGAGACCTCTTACCTTATTTCTGCAGGCAAGCACTTAAATTAAACTCCCAGGAAACACAGATCTTGATGTCTTTTCCTTGATGTTTGCATATCAAAGACAAGGCCCTTAAAAAAAAGATGAGTCCTGTTTTGTGAAGCTAGAAAGAGGTTTGTTTAGCTTTTTAGAAGATTTACATACATCTTAGAGGAATAAAGAATTTACAAATTGCCTAAAGGAAATGTTCTAAGAGAAGGGAAGGACTCTGCATCATGGGATTGAGGTTTTGTTTTGTCTTGTTTTTTTTTTTTTTAGACTTGTATCTAAATGTTTGTTGTCTATATTTATTATTAAATTTTCAGATATAATTTTAGATTTGTATATATTTGTATGTATTCAGCTCTTTACAAATGGTGTGAGTCACATGGATATCTGGTAGAGGGAACAAATGTAGAAGAGGAGGGGCTGGAACAGAAGGATAAAGTTGAGAGCAGCAGGTCAGGGAGGCAGCAACTCTGAAGCCTAAAGTTTTTGCTTTTTTTTTTTTTCTTTTCTTGTACTGGGAATTGAACCCAGGGGAGTTCTACCACTGAGCTACATGCCCAGCCATTTCTACTTTTTCTTTTGAGACAGGTCTTACTAAGTTGCTAAACTATGTAGGCTGGGCTTGAACTTCCCAGTTTCCTGCCTCAGCCTCCCTCAGTGCTGATTAAGCCAGATTTAGAGCCCTTGGTCTTAACCCCTACCCCTGTGCTTTGAAAACCATCAATGGTGAGGTACTGATCCATTGTGACCCAATACCTTTGTACAATACAACAAAAATACACTTCTAGAAAAGTAAAATGTAAAAGTAAAAGACCACAGATGCTAAGCAGACTAAGCCAGATAGAAAAGAATAAATTTGGAATGATTCTGTGATGGGAAAAATGGCTCCCAACCTGTTAGATGTTAGATGTTCCAAGTTCGAGGTCTTACAACATTGAGGAATAAAGTCCCTAAGGGAGTCTATGTGAGTTTATTCGAAAGAAGAAGAATAGCTCCTTGGGGTCCCAAATGGGTGGCTGCTGAGGCTCTTTGTCATGGTAATTTACACAGCAAAATCACAACATGGTACAGTGTGGGTCAAACTACAATCAACCTATAGGATTACAAATATAGTAGCTTAGCTAATATTGATCCAGTAGGGAAGTGGGGCATGTAGCAAGGGTACTTGGCCAGCAGGATTCATCATTAATGTTATCTTATCTGTAACTCTTAGTCCTAGAGAGAACAAAGGCATCCCTGGAAAAGGAGGGAGGATGGGTTCAGACGTTCTGGCCCCCACCTATGGGTCTGATGCCTATCTGTGCTCACTGACCAGGTGATGCTAATCACAATACAATCTCAAGCTGTTGTTTATCTCTAGGGAGGCCTGAGGGCCTGGCTACTGCATCTCCAACTCGTAACCTGGCTCTTTTCGGACTCACCTCCAGCCACAGTCTTGGTGTGTCTGGTCTTCCGCACTGACTCCATCAGGGGCTTGATCCTTCTCTGACTGCCTATTAATTTCTACCTAATTTATCTATCTATAATAATTCGACTTGTGAGAAGTACCCAGAATGGTCAAATTTATTACAGACATAAAGTAAGATAGTGGTTGTGTTTAAAGGGTTTAAAGTTTCAGTTTTGGAAGATGAATCAATCCTGGTGATCAGTGGCAGTGATAGTCACACAGACTGTGAATGTACTTATGTGTCACTAAAGCATACACCAAAAAATGGTTAAGATGAGGGCTGGGTAACAGGCACTCTGGAAGTCTGAGGAGGCAGGAAGATCTCAAGTTCAAGCCCAGCATGGGAGGAGGAGGAGAAGAAGGAGAAAAAGAAAACAGGTCTGTGGGTATAGCTCAATGGTACATGCCTCATTTGGGTGAGAATCTGGGTTTGATACTCAGCACAGAAGAAAAGTCTAAAATGACAGGCTTTTTGTTTTTATTTTCTGGTTTTGTTTAGTTCATTAAAAAGTGATAAGATGTATTTTAAAAATACCTCTGAAGTAGAAGAGCCATTTTTGTTTTTGGAACCAGGATTTCAGTCTGTAGTTCAGACTGGCCTTGAACTCTCAGGGTCCCTTCTACCTCACCCCGCGGAGTGCAGGCCCCACCCTTGGCGGAAAAGCACCATTTTAAAAAAAGAAAAAGAAGAAAGAAAAGATTCCGTAGAAGAAAACGATTAAATTGCCGCAGGAGTTCCCGAAGAGTCCCTGCGTTTTCCTCCATCTTCACCTCTGGCCACCTGCCTGCCAGAGAGCAGCTCTCCGATTCGCCGGCTTGCTGAGAGCGGAGGCCCGGCAGCGGTCTGCGAGCACAGGACCGCGCAGCCTGTCCCTCTGCGCCCACCAAGGGCCGGGGAGGCGGGGTCACCACCCAAGGCGCGGCCCGTGGGGTCTGGAGCCTCATCTGGGTTTCTTGGTGTTTTCCAGATGAGTTCTTTCCCGGAGCGTCCCCTTGGAGGAGCGCGTTCCTGGGGACCCTGGCGGCCGCGCTGCTGCTGCTGCTCTTCCTGGCGGCCTTGGCGCGTCTGCAGCGGCGGCACAGAGGTGAGCGGCTGGGCCGGGGGCGGCGGTGCCGGGGCCGGGGCCGGGGCCGGAGGTCTGCTTATTCATTGTTCTCCCTCTCTGTTTGCTTTCAGAAAAGCTGAAGAATCAGGCAGAGGAGGAGCAAGGTGAGCCATGAGCCGGGCAGGAGCGGGGATGCATGGGAGCTGCGTGGGTCGGATGAGGGTCTCCCCTTCCTTGCCGCGCGTGGGCCACAGTATAGGTGCTTTGAGGAATGAGGCCTGTGATCCGTGTTCTGTCCCCTGACTTATCCCCAACCTGAAGAATGTTCCACTTTTCTTCTCCAGGAAGGCTGGCTTCGCAGCTACGTGAGTTGAGTTCTGGGTGCCTACGCCCCCCCCCCCGCCCATATCGCTGATGGGTACTAATGGGGTAGCTGAGCTCAAGCCCAGTGGTTTAGGCTCTTTTTGAAGAGAGATGGCTGGCACCGACCTAATTCTAAATTCCTCCTTCTGCATCTCTCTTCCCCCACAGGCTGAAGGCCTGTCTGACTGGGTGTGCAGCTGCCCTGGTCTATCAGAGAACCTCTGTGAACAGACCCTGCCAGCCTCTCCCTTGCAAATTACATGATTCACTGAAAATTTTCCCACTGAATGATTGCTTCCCTCAGTTATCTTCCTAGGACAAATTCTCCTATCTTTTAAATGCAGACACCACTGGGAAGCATGGCACTTTTAATTTCTGCCCAAGTGTGAATAATTTATCAAATTCGCTTTTGTTCCCAGAGGAGCGCATCAACTTGAAGCCATGGTGGGAAGAGGGTCGTAAAAGGGAGGATGGGTGAAACCTCGAAGTGGGGATGGAAAAGACCTCTGTGGGTAGAAGGAAGACATCAAGAACCAAAACTCCAAACCAAACTAAGGTCGAGGAAACTTGTCTTGCAGTCTACCAAGTCATGGGGGGCCAGGGCAGCAAAGCAAAACAGTTGTAATAAGCCATAGCACCACAGTCTGAATTGGTGTATAGTGCTGCTTTTCCAAGGAGCCTTGCTTTTAAAAGAGGACAAAAGGTGGACAGATCAAAGAAGTGTATTCTACTGGCAAAATGTGAGTTCTTGGCAAATAACCGAGTGTGATGTTCTAGCCCTTTAAGTGATTTATCCAGTAAGGGAGCCTGAGGTTCACAGGGGCAGTGCTCAGTACAGGACTTATTCAGGAGCTCCTCCCCAGGAAAAACTTCACATTTCAGGATGAAAGAGCAGGAGACTCTTCAAACCAAACCTGAATCCAAATCTGTTTTGTTTTCCCAGTTTGATGCAGATTTAAAGCAAGTAGGATAAGGCATCAGAATCCCGCAGTAGATCTCCTTTAGTAGGCCAGTGCAGGGCCAAGGATGGGGTTGGGAACGTCTTCCAGTGACCTGCTTTGGGAGGGTGGTTCCACTCATCCAAGAGTTGATACTTTCTCTGTGTTCTGCTTATAGAGACATTTCAGACCGAGCTGGGTAAGTGACCCCTCCTGAAACTTTTCCTTCTGTTCGCCTTTTTGCCCCTCCTTATCCATGTATCTTCTCATCTCCCAAACCAGGTGAGATGCCTGGCCTGGAACCCGATGGCTTCGTGGGTGGCAGGAAAGAGGGGGAAAGGGCAGGAATGGTGCAAAATGTGATAGATGGGCAGAGAAGCTGTGATGTTCTGATGTTCTAATCCCATTTTTCCTTTGTGCTTCAGACTGGAGAAGGGCTGAAGGCCAAGCTGGTGAGTAAAGCCTATTTTTCTCCTATTGTTGCTCATTATGTGCCCGGAATAACCATGGTTGACATCCTGATAAACCCACTGTAAATTGAAAATGTCACAAGTTAAACATGTATCTAGCTTAACATGTGCCTAGCTTTACAACCCAGCACACTAGATCAGTGATGGCAAACCTTGTAGAGAAGGGAGTCCCAAACTCTAACCCAAAATGCATTTATCACAAAGTGGCAACACTGCAATTAAACCTGAGGTTTTAGTTTAGAAAAACAAACTTTGTAACAACTTTACAACCAACTTTGCAACAATTCATGATGTCATTGCAGAGAGGGCTGTGGGTGCTCCCTGTGGCACATGTGCCATAGGCTCACCATCCCTGCTGTTGCCTGTCTTTCTGATCACTTGCCTGATACAGCTATGGCTCCAGGTCTGGCCAGCATCTCAGGAGAGTATTATACCATGTATCATTGCTAACCTGGGTAAAGATCAAAATTAAATATTGCAAGTATGGTTTCTACTGAATGCACTGACTTTTGTACCATAATAGAGTAAAAACTTCATAAGTTAAACCATCTGGAGTCAGGGACTATACATCTCAGCATCTCAATTATTTGGTCTGAGTAATCTACCACACTTCATTCTAGTTTCATTCCACAGCCTCTCTGGGTTTGTATTAATTTATGTCACTTGGTAGGGGTGTTATTCAGGTTTTACTTTTATATTGTCCTGAGGCTTAAACATCCTGGAAACTATTGGCTCCTATCCTGTTGCATGTCACAATCACCAGGACTCCTGATGTTCTCCTTCAAAGACTGACTTGTGGGTCTGGAATGGCATGTTACCATATATATATACATTTTTCTCCATACAATGGGTCCCCCATCCATCCAAGGCAAAACTGCAATGTATATCTATTTTCTATTTATCCTTGTAAATGTGAATTTCACTTTTGTCACATGTGTTTTATGTAAATGATATTCACCATCTCACACTGTTCCTGGCTTTTTTCACACATCATTCTTTGAACATCTTTCTCATGCATACATGTAGTCTGTTTCTCCTTCTTGCTGCAAAGATTATTTTAGCCCATTACCCTCTTGGAGGAGACATCCTGGCTGCCTCTGACTCAACACCATCACAAACAACAGTGAGTGAATAGCTTCAAACACATCTCCTTATGACACTGTGTGACGATCTGCCTATGTCACCAGGATGGGAACTGCTAGGCCATGGGGAGTCTGTGCATTAATGGGACAGAAGGCTGTCCAGAAGGCAACACTGTCTTCCTGCCTTCAGCAGAGCTGGGAGACTCCATGTTCCTGCATCCCATGGGAGTGAACATTCAGCTTTTGCCAGTCAGTGGTGATAAACGATTGGCCATTGTTCTTTTACCACTCTGAATACCAAGTTTGAACATCTCTCTAATGGGCTTTTGTGTCTTCCTCTTCCCACAGCTGCCATTTTGAAAGGGATTGCTATCTTTTCCTTATGTATACATTTATATGTGTGTTTTAATCCTTCACTGGTATTGAACTTGTGAAGTCATTAATTTTGAGAAAATCTAATTCACTGAGATTTTACCTAAAGTTTATATTTTTGAAGTTTTGCTGAAAAAGACTTTTCATGCACATAGGTCACAAGGATAAATTTTTTTTGGAATTAAAACTTTTATTGGTACATTTTAGATACATATAATGATCACATTCATCATAGGGAATTTGTACCTGTATGTAATAGATCTTGATGCTTCTTTTTTCTCATTCCCCTCCCTTTGACCCCTCTTCCCCCTTTATTTACAAAGTTTTATTTGCCTTTTTCCTTCTATTCTTTTTTTCCTTGTCCTTTCTTTCCTTTCCCCTTACTCTCTACCTTCTTCCCTTTCTCATTTGAACATTTTTGAAAGCAAAACATTTATTGGTACACTTCAGATATACATAATGATCACATACATCATAGGGAATTTGTACCTGTACATGGTATATCTTTTTTTTTTCCCCATTCCCTCCATCCCCTCAGAACCTTTTTCACCCTTTATTTACAAAAGCTTTGTTTCCATTTTCCCTTCTATTCTTTTTTTTCTCTTGTCTCTACTCCCCCCACACCTTGTTCCCCTTCTCATTAGAACATTTTCATTCCATCCCAAAATCTATTATAAATTTCAGTCCTTATTTCTACTTTCAGTTTCTCACACCAGAGAAACAGTGTGCTATTTAAACATATGTGTCTGATTTATTTCATTTAAGAGTATGGTCTCAAAATGTGCATCCATTTAGCTAGAAATATCTCAAGCTTATCCTTTATGGCAGAGTAGTACTCTGTTATATTTTTAAAAGCCACATCTTTTTAATCCATTCATCCATTAATGAGCATTTGGGGTGTTTCCAAGACCTAGCTATCACAGTCTGTGCTTCTGTAAATATGGGTGTATGTATAAGACTTAGTATGATGCTTTTAATTCTTTTGGGAAGACACCAAGAAGAAGAATAGCTGAATCAAGTGGAACCTCTGGTTTTAGGTTTTTGAGGACTCTCCACACTGATTTCTACAGTGGATGCACCAGTCTATACTCCCACCAACAGTGGAGAAGGGTTCCTTTTTCCTTCTCTTTTTTTGGTGGGGGGCGGGAAAGGTGCGGATTGAACTCAGGACCTTTCACTTGCCAGTCAGTTGCAATGCCACTGAGCTACATTCCCAGCCCAAGAAGGGTTCCTTTTCTCCCACAGCCCTGCCAGCATTTGCTATTGGTTGATTTCTTGATAACAGCCATTCTTTCTGGAGTGAGATGGAATCTCAGTGTTGTTGTAATTTGCATCAATCAAATGACCAGTGATGGTGAACATTTTTTCATATATTTGCTATCTCTACTTCATCTGAGAAGTGTCTGTTGATTTAGGGTGTCCACTTTTAGATTGCATCTTTAAATGTGTGTATGTATGGGGGGTCAGATTATTATCATTATCATCATCATCATTATTATTACTCTACATATTAGTCCTTTTGCTGAGGAACAGCTGGCAAAATTTTTTTCCCCACACAGTTGGTTGTCTCTTCATGCTGTTGGTGGTTTCTTTTGCTGTGCAAAATCTTTTTAATAAGATGAGGTCCCAGTTGTTAATTCTTTGTGATATTTCCTGTGTGATTGGGGTTTTCTTCATAAAGTCTTTGCCTATAACAGTGTCTTCAAGAGTTCTTGTTCTATCTTCCAGCAGATTTAGTGTTTCTGTTTTAATATTTAGATCTTTGACCCATTTCAATTTTAGTTTAGTGCATGGTGAAAGATATGGGTCTAGTTTTCATCTTTGGCATGTGGAAAGTCAGTTTTTCCAGCAACATTTATTAAAGAGGCTATCTTTCTTCCAGTGAAGATAAGGTGGTAAGGTGGCTGAGTGTGTCTGGAGTTGTTTCTGCATCTTCTAATCCATTGCATGGGTCCTTGAGTTTGCTTTTTGCCAGGACCATGCTGTTTTTATCACAATAACTTTGTAGTATAATTTCAAGTTGGGGATTGTGATGCCTCCTGCCTTGCCTTCTATTTTAGGTCTCTTCTCGCTCACAGTGAACTTTAGGAATGTTTTTTCTCATTCTCTGAGATATGCTAATGGTGTTTTGATTGAGAGTGCACTAAATCTGTATAACAATTTTGGAAGTATGGCCATTTTTATTGTATTGGTTCTTCTGACTCAAGAATAGGGATATCTTTCCATTTTCTGATATCTTTCAATCTCCTTTTTTAGAGTACTGTAGTTTTCCTTGTAAGTTCTTTTACTTCCATCGTTAGAGTGATTCCTAGGTATTTCATTTTTTTGGGATGCTATCGTGAAAGGTGTGGTTTCCCTAATTTATCTCTCAGTGAGTTTGTTATTTGTGTAGAGGAATCCTATTGATTTTTGCCTGCTGACTTTTTATCCAGCTATGCCACTGAATTTGGTTATTAAATCTACAGGTCTTTTGGTGGAGTTTTTGGGGTCTTCTATGTGCAGCATCATGTCAGCCACAAATAATGATAATTTAACTTCTTCCTTTTCTATCCTTATTCCTTTTGTTTCTTTCTCTTATCTAATTGCTGTGGCTAATGTCTCCAGAATTATATGGAATATGAGCATGACAGTGGACATTTTTGTCATGTTTCTGATTTTACAATGAAAATATTCAGTTTTTGTCCATTTAGTATGATTTTGGCTGTTGTTTTGTTATAGATGGCTTTTGTTAGATTGAAATAAAGATCATCAGGGGATCATATCTCTGTCCATGAGGAGGAAAGGGGTGGCGCGCATGCCATTTCTAGTCGTTTTCAACGCACCTGGTGCTGATTCTCACAGGCCTGGCTGCCCACCCCAGTTCTTCCCTGGATTGGTAGGTTATGTTGATCTTGATGAAGGAGCAATTGATGCTCTCAGGGAATTTAATGAAGAAGGAGCTCTGTCTGTACTGCAACAGTTCAAGGAAAGTGACATCACATGTTCAGAACAAAAGTGCATTTTTATGTGGAGTTATGAAGACCTACAGGCAAAGAGAGAAACAGGGCAGCAAAGTGCAAGAGTCCACAAAGGGATCTGATCAAGGCCTTGCTTGAGAGGACTGGTTATACTCTGGATGTAACAACAGGACAAAGGAAGTATAGTGGTCCTCCACCAGACAGTGTGTACGTGGGTGTGCAGCCTGGAATTGGAACAGAGGTCTTTGTAGGTAAAATACCAAGAGCTCTGTATGAGGATGAGTTGGTGCCCCTTTTTGAGAAGGCTGGTCCCATTTGGGACCTACGTCTTATGATGGATCCACTGTCTGGTCAGAACCAAGAGTACGCGTTTATCACCTTCTGTGGAAAGGAAGCTGCACAGGATAGCTGTTAAACTGTGTGACAGCTATGAAATTCACCCTGGTAAACAACTTGGAGTGTGTACTTCTGTGGCAAACAACAGACTTTTTGTTGGATCCATCCCGAAGAATAAGACTAAAGAAAACATTCTGGAAGAATTCAGTAAAGTCATAGGTGAAAGTTTTATTTG